TTCCGGGGGCCTTGCGCTTTTTCCCCGGGTGCGTCTTTGACCTACCTCCTTCTTATTGGCGAGGGTTTGACCCTCCAAACTGTCAGGAGATCCTGGCTTGTACCTGTGCCGTCTTGCTAACTGCAGGGCGGATTGCGGACATATAATACAAACAGCCATTTGTCAACTTCTTTCGACTTTGGTCGAATTTTCTCTTTCGGATACTGGAAGGCAGGGCTCGATACGGCGTAAACTGTCAGTGGCCCTATAAAACCCAACATGCACGACAACAGTTTATGATAAAATTTCGTTCGGATTTTTAACCCCGGAGGGTTAGCCACCCAGGATAACCCAAGAAAGTCAGTGCGTCATAGAGGACTGTCTAACTTATTTTCATTGGTGTCCTTAATCTTGTCCCCCAGGATGCGACCCACACCAGTCGACTAACACACAGGTACCTATTTGCTGCTAGGTGAACAGGACAACAGGTGTAAGGAAACGTGTCGAAATGTTTTCACCCGTCGGGAATCGAACCCGGGCCCTCCGTGTGTGAAGCGGGAGCTTTAGCCACCAGGCCACCGGGCCAAGCTGTGGACTTCTGCGCTAGCCTTCTTTGAGTGTGGACGTCTCTCTCTCGCCTGAGTATCAGTGACAAATTTCCACCGTTCTCACTGGGACGCTTGTCCTCATCTATTTTGGTCGTCGGGCACTCGACAGGAGGGACACTTGTACATCGGCTTTCTTTTAGCCAGCTCCATATTTTCCGCTCTGCGGAAAATTCTTTATCGGTCTTGGGTGGGAAGCCGGTTACTGAACTCAGGTGGGAGTGTGGGCGTCCCTCTCTGCTGCGGCTTGGCAAGGTGGTCCACCAAATCTAATTGGAAACTTCAAGTTTCTATCTCTATTTACAAAGGAACTTTTGTTCCTTTTCTCTCATCGCCCAACCTTGGGCAACAATTTTTCCTCGTACCATCGAGAAACCAGTCTCGATACTGCATAAGCTGTCAGTGGCCCTGATAAACCCAACAACAAGAAGAAGAAGGTTAAGACAATATGATAAAATTTTGTTCTTATTTTTAACCCCGGAGGGTTAGCCACCCAGGATAACCCAAGAAAGTCTGTAAGTGATCGAGGGACTGTCTGTCTTATTTTCATCGGGTTCCTTAATGTTGTCCCCCAGGATGCGATCATGCGACCCACACCAGCCAACTAACACCCAGGTACCTACTGTTTATCTGGAGTTTATCTGGAGAGAGTTCCGGGGGTCAACGCCCCCGCGGCCCGGTCTGTGACCAGGCCTCCTTAGGTCAGTGTCCCAGGATGCGACCCACACCAGTCGACTAACACCCAGGTACCCATTTTACTGATGGGAAACATAGACAACAGGTGGAAAGAAACACGTCCAATGTTTCTACTCTGGCTGGGAATCGAACCCAGGCCCTCACCGTGTGAAGCGAGAGCGTTAACCACCAGGCCACCAGAGCCCTGCTTATCAATATTTTATAACATTGTATACCATGCAAAAAAAAATAAAAATTTGAATTTGAACCCTTGCTAGGGATCGAACCACAGACACGCTGTGTTTAAGGCAAGAGTGTTGCCTTCCACGCCACAGTACACCATTTTATGTATCTGAGGTAGGTAGTAGGTTGGTAGACAGCAACCACCCAGGGAGGTACTACCGTACTGCCAAGCGAGTGTAAAACGGAAGCCTGTAATTGTTTTGCATAATGGTAGGATTGCTGTAATTTGTTCATGATTTTAACCATGTATAGGAATGTAGATGGTTCATTACCTTATAACTTGTTCAGCTATCATAACTTTGGGGTCCAGTCCCTGGAACCATTATGAACCTCTGTAGTCTTTTGACTACCGGCTACAGGATGAGTATGGGGTGCATAATAAAGATTAAAAAACAATAATAAGATTGCTGGTGTGTTTTTTGTCTCATAAACATGCAGGATTTCAGGTATGTCTTGCTACTTCTACTTACACTTAGGTCACACTACACATGCATGTATATGTTTATGTATACACACACATTTGAGTTTTCTTTGATTTTCAATAGTTCTTGTTCTTATTGCTTTTCCATTCACATCCATAGGGAAGTGGAATAAGAATCTTTCCTCCATAAGTGATGCATATTGTAAAAGTCAACTAAAATGCCGGGAGCAAGGGCTAGTGATCCCTTTTCCCGTATAGTTTGAATGTGCGTGGATGTAGTGCGAATGATAAGAAAGTGATGATTGTGGATGTTATGAATGAAAGAAGCTGGTTGTTCTGGCTCTTAAGTGAAACAAAACTGAAGGGGGTAGGAGAGTTTCAGTGGGGAGAAATAAATGGGATTATGTCTGGGGTTTCTAATAGAGTTAGAGCTAAGGAAGGAGTAGCAATAATGTTGAAGGATAAGTTATGGCAGGAAAAGAAGGAATATAATGTATAAATTCAAGGATTATGTGTCATAAAATAAGGGTTGGATGTGAAAAGTGGGTTATAATGAGTGTTTATGCACCTGGAGAGGAGAGACGTGTAGAGGAGAGAGAGAGAGAATTTTTAAATGTGTATTTTTAAATGTTTATACAGTAGTGTACTGTATACTGTAATAATCAGAATAGAGGAAATCAGCTCTAATATACATTATTTAGGTTTTCATTACTGGTTGGAGAGCTGGTCTTAAGTCCAAGTGGTCGGTAAATGAGTATGTTGCTAAGTGAGGAGAGGCTGTATTCTTATTCTTATTATCTGTAATCCTCACAACCATTAAATATATGGAATGTATTCAAAATATGCTCATATTCTTGAATCCTCATTACTGTAATCATAATTCAACCTGTAATCCTTAAAACAATCAAACTCAATAAGTGTTCATTGTAATTCCTAAATTTATTGGTACACCACTTAGAGACTATATATACAAGCAATCAATTAATTGCCATTTTAGTCTTAAGATACGCTTAAGCTTGTTTGAAATGCTGAAATAAAGAATCTTTAATCTTTGCTTCCACAGATAACATTCTTTGTCTCCACAGACTCCCAGTGCACCACTCACCTTATTTTTCCTCTTTAGTTCTGTGGTACACCTTGTCTTTCATAGGACTCATCTACTGACAAGTCCACTCCCAAATATCTGAATACATTCACTCCCTCCATATTATTATTACAGGAGGGGCCCCAATTATACATTGGGTTAGGTTCCAGGCTGCTGCTATAAAGTGAATCACCTTTTTTTTTTTTACTTTTAAATGCATATAAATGCCTGATAATATGTTTACACTATCATATCATGGAGAAGGAGTATGGACACAGGGGTCGTCCCACAGCTGCTAAAAACAACAGACGTAAACCAACTTCACAAAGTGAGCAATAAAGAAATAGCAAAGAATACAGACCGATAGCACTAACATCTTATTCATAGAAATCTTTGAAAAGGGTTCTAAGAAGCAAGATCACCACTCAGCGAGATACCTATCAGTTACACAACCCAGGGCAACATGGGTTTAGAGCAGGTCACTCCTGCCTGTCCCAACTACTGGACCACTATGAAAAGGACCTGGATGTTCTAGAAGACAAACAAAATGCAGATGTAGTATACACATTCTTTGCAAAAACCTTTGACAAGTGTGACCATGGTGTGATAGAGCACAAAATGCATGATAAAGGAATAACAGCAGAAGTTGGTAGATGGATCTATAATTTCCTAACAAATAGAACACAAAAAGTAGTAGCAAACATAGTAAAGTCTGAGGCGGCTACTGTGAAAAGCTCTGTTCCCCAAGGCACAGTACTCGCTCCAATCCTGTTCCTCATCCTCATTTCTGACATAGACAGGGATGTAAGCCACAGAACTGTCTTCCTCTGCAGATGACACTCAAATTTGCAGGACAGTGTCCTCCATTGAAGACACTGCAAGATGCCAGGTGGACATCAAACAAATCTTTAAATGGACTGCAGACAACAATATGCAATTCAGTGATAAGAAATTTCAGTTACTCCGATATGGAAAACATGAGGAAATTAAAACTATATCAGAGAATAAAACAAATTCCAACTACACAATGGAGCGAAAAACTAATGCAAAAGACCTGGGAGTGATCATGTCAGACAATCTCACTTTCAAAGACCACAACAATGTATCAATCACATCTGCTAGAAAAATGACAGGATGGATAATGAGAACCTTCAAAACTAGGGATGCCCAGCCCATGATGACACTCTTCAGGTTGCTTGTTTTATCTAGGCTGGAATATTGCTGCACCTAACAGCACCTTTCAAAGCAGGTGAAATTGCTGACCTAGAAAACGTACAGAGAACCTTCTCAGCACACATAACTGCGATAAAACACCCCCAATTACGTGGGAATGCTTGAAGTTCCTGAACCTGTACTCCCTAGAACACAGGTGGGAGAGATACATGATTATATACACTTAGAAAATCCTAGGGGGATTAGTACCAAACTTGCACACGAAAATCACTCCCTATGAAAGCAAAAACTTGACAGATGATGCAACATCCCCCATTAAAAAGCAGGGGTGCCACTAACACGATAAGAGACAACACAATAAGTGTCAGGGGCCCAAGACTGTTCAGCTGCCTCCCAGCATACATAAGGGTGTTTACCAGTAGACCCTTGACTGTCTTCAAGAATGCACTGGACAGACACCTGAAGTCACTACCTGACCAGCCTGGGTGTCGTTCATACGTCGGATTTCATGCAGCCAACAATAACAGCTTGTTGATCAGGCCCTGTTCCACCATGAGGCCTGGTCTCAGGCCGGGCTGCAGGGGCGTTGACCCCCAAAACCCTCTCCAGGTATACTTCAGGTATGGTATAAACCTTGGTAATAAATACTGACAAGTTGGTTTAGAAAGACACGTAAGCAAACACTATGACATATTTATTAGAAAACGTTTCGGTCCTGGGACCTTGATCACTTCTAACATACAGAGGTAGAAAGGCATTACATGTATATATATAGGCGGAGAGTGAGGTGTGACGCATGTGACCTGAGGAATGTCATAAGAACATAAGAACATAAGAATGGAGGAACACTGTAGAAGGCCTACTGGCCCATGCAAGGCAGGTCCTTATCAAAACAACCTCTGCCTATGATGAGGACGGGTAGACGTTGAAATCATGTGACTCCTGTGTTGTTGGGTTGGTGGTGCTTAAGTATCATGTATGCCAATGTTTTTGAAATTTTGTAGTTTCCAGTGTTGCGTTCTATAGTGTCGGTTGACGGGCGACTAGTGAGGCTTCTAGGTACCGTCGGCGTCTGAGGTCTGGTTCGGTGAGAACGAGTTGTGCCTCATTCCAGTTCATCAAATGTCCCGTGGAGTCTCTGTGGAGGACACAGGCGTACCTTACATCGTCTCTGTTAGAGGCATTTCGATGCTCATTCAAGCGGACTGCAAGATCTCTGCCTGTCTCGCCTACATTATTTCTGGGACAGAACCCACAGGGGATAGTGTAGACGCCTGCTGTAGAAGTTAGAGGTGTGGGGCTGCGTTTCGTAGTGAGGTCTTTGATAGATGATGTGTTTATGGTGGAAACGTTGATGTTACTCATAGCAAGTGCCCGGCGAGTATTCGTGGCAACATCACCACATGGGAGTACTATGAACTGCTTAGGGGGCTGTTCCATGGGCGGTTTGTTGAGAATAGCTTGTGCCTTAAGTCTGCAATCTCAGATGAAGAAAGATGGGAACTGAAGACGTGTAAAGGCTTGTGTTATGTAAGTGCATTCTTCTTCTAGAAAACAAGGGCTGGAGATGCTAAGAGCTCTCGAGAAGAAGCCAATGAGGACTCCTCTCTTAGTGTGGGTGTCTTGGTGTGAATAAAAGTGTATAAGATCGTCCTTGTTGGTAGGTTTTCTATACACTTTGAAGAGAAGTTTGTCACTGTCGGGAGATCTGCACAGTAGAACGTCGAGGAAAGGAAGTTTGCCATCATTTTCGAGTTCAAGTGTAAACTTTATTGATGGTTCAACTGCATTGATCTTGTTGAGAAGGGCCTGGATATTGAGACGTCTCGGATAGAAAACCAATACATCGTCAACGTATCTTAGCCAGGTAACGGTGTTGGGAATGAGGGTGCTGAATTTCTCTGTCTCCAGGTTTTCCA